TTCAAAGGTGACTCCATGTCCTCGAGGACGGACGAGGGCGGGGCGGCTGCGTCCACATCAGTTGCTGCCGTGCTTAAAGATGAATGAGTCCACTCGAATGGTCCCTGGGTAACGATGTTCCGGTGTCATACGAAAGTACCACATGGGAAGTTCAGAACATGATCGGAAGTTATTCAAAGAGTGTTTTTAGGTGACTAGCCCAGCTCTTACTATGTCTTCTGTCATAGTTAGCAACAATCAAGCCAATCAAGCCTCTAGATTAAGGTTTAGTTAGTAGGTGTTTAAGTAGACGTGCTTAATTAACATATATTTTAGGCTTAAAATATACGGCTCAATTATTAAAGCTTAACAGGCTCAATACTTTATAATATAATTATCCTTCGTATTATCTAAACTATCTAACATATGTATAGCGTCTAACTTACTATTAGTTATACTAAATTATATACCTATAATACTATTATTTATACTAGCTTTTGTAAGACGTCACGGGGAATAATAGAGGTTTGTTGGATAGGTTGGGACAAAAGATATCAATTGATTGTCAAACGAATCGATAGCGTCTGTGTCGATTCTCATTGTAACAAGTGCAAGCCCTCGTTCCAGTTCTCATCAGACTAGCCAAGATATCATCAGCCCCGATACGACTCCGATACGGCTCCGACTCTAGTCTAAGACCCCTCTGCCTCTAGATATAAAAGGAGCCTTATGCTTATAGATAGATAGACAAGTTCTTCTTGTCCTTTCGTACAAGACCTATAGGTGTAGGAATCACATTCTTTTCCATACAGACGCGCACTCCCATATGCCCTTGAGTCGTATCGGATCCCTTTCGGATGCTCCTACCTACCTGCGTCGTTACACTCATGGGTATTTATACCGCCCATGATCACGTAATCTATCTGCCCCGGGCCACGTTGGCCCATGTCCTGACATGTAATACCCTTAATCTAATAATTATAAAGGATGTATTTTGTTTTATTCAAGAGCCTTAAGTATAAGCTATACTTAAGCATTTTGGAAAGTTTCTTCTTTATAGTATTATTAAGATATTAGGTAATAGGGTGTAGTTTTAGTAAGGTCTTAGTAGGGTGGTGTTGCAGAAAGTAGAACACGAGCTCGATCTCTGCCTCTTTCTGCTTACCTGATCTACACGATGATCTACATGCTCCTAATCGCCCAACTGGATAAATGTAGTTCATGGTACCAATTTGTCCCTCAACAGGAGCTTTGGTGAATATTGAGCACAGGTATACTTGACGAAGATCAAGCGGATTACTAAGCTCAAGATCTATACAACTAAGCTCTACCCTGATAGTTACAATGCAATGATCAATCCCCCAAATCATTCCTAAGCTCGTGATCACCCAAATTC